GGCGAGATGCGTGGCTGGTTGTTCCTGCCGCCGTCGGTGCCCGTGGCCCACAGGTTGTGGCGGCGGTTGCAGAGCGGCACGCGCCCCTGTTCCACAAGTGCATGCAGGCCGCGCTGGCGGCGCACAGCAGCGAGCAGCAGCCCGGCAGCCGGCCGGCGCCGTCAGCTGGCGAGGCTGCGGCGCGGTCCTTTGCAGAGCTGCCCACCCGGTTGCAGCTGCTGCTGGTGGGGGAGCTGCATGCCTCGCTGCAGCAGCGCTTTGACGGGCATTGCCGCGGCGAGCCAGATGGCGGCGTGCTGGAGCTTCTGGCTGCGGCAGATGCCCAGGCGCTCTTCTTCGTGCGCTGGCTGGAGGGAGAGAAGCGGCGGGGGCACATCCCTGATGGTGCCGCGTATGCCCACCCACCCATACACACACACACACACACCTGCCGTAGGATGCCAACCACAAAGGTACGCAGCCGGGGGGCGGCAGCCACCGTTTGGATGACTGTGCGCATGAACAGCTGGGGCAATGGAACGCGCGTCAGCAGCTGGCTGATGCAGGCCGCCAGCGACTCAGGCGGAAAGAGTGCGGGGCTTGAGATGCACACCGTCACGCCCTGCATCATCTTGCGCAGCAGGCTGCTGTCGCGGCTGTGGTCCAAAGTGTGCAGCGCAGACAGTAGCTCCGCTGGGCTGACCACTGCCGGAGCTGCAACTGGCGCCATGGACGCCGCCTGCTCTCCACCACTGCCTGCCACTATGGCTGCCGCTAGCGGTGCCACCAGTCGCTGCAGCGCTGGCCGTAGCTGCTCGGGCTGCAAATCAAGCAGCGCCGGTAGCAGGCGGAGGGCAGTGGCACGATCGACGCCACGCAGGGCAGGCACCAGTGCACGCGCATCTTTGCAGCTGTCGTAAAGCTGCAGGCAGGCTGTAACCATCAACTGTGGCGGGATGGCTGCCTCTGTCAGCACATGCAGCGCCTGCAGGACCAGTGGCAGGCTGCCAGCCGGCGGATCCTGCACCACCGCCAGCAGAGCAGGAGCTGATGCCCCAAGCGTCTTAGCGAGTCCAATGGCGTTGCGCTGAATGGCTGCACGCCCCCCACCTGCACACCAAGTGCACAGGGGGATGAAAAGTGTGATAGAGCTGCAAGAGCGCCGTGGGACGCCTGCATCGTGTGCTTCAAACAGCAGCACAGCAATGCAGAGCCCGCTTGCTGCTGCGTCTTGCCTGATGTTTGAGCATACACCTCGAACAAGTGCCGCAGCAGTGAGTGCTTCTTGGTGCACAGCGCGCAATACAGGGCGCACAACTGAGCTGCCTCCGAGTCGCAAGGCCCCACAGGCCGTGCATTGGCGCCGTCTGCTGCGGTGCGCTGCGGCTGCTCCTGCTGTTGCAAAGTCTCCTGCTGCTTTTGCAACGGCTGCAGTTCCCCGATGTCTGCGCCCGCATTTTCCCCTTCTGTCTCTGCTAGAGCTGCTAATGCGGGTGGAGAGGCAGGTAGGCTTGCCTGAGCCTCTGTCAACCTGGGCGACTCTGCATCAGCCGCCAATGGTGGTGGTGGTGGTGGTGCTGCTGCTGTCGTCGGAGGAAGCATGGCATCGAGCCGATGCCGTGCTGCCTGCTCGATTTGAGGAGCCATGCCGGGGTCGGGGAAGAGACGATTAGCCACCAGGCGCACTGCCTTGCTGCGGACGTCCGAGATAGGCGAGCAGCAGGCATCCAGCACCAGCCACAGCAGCTCGGGTCGGCTGGGGGGGCGGTGCAGGATGACATCCCTCGCCGCTAAAAGCCCCAGCGTACACCACTCGGGCCCGCCCTGGATAACCTGCTGTAGAAATGTCCGCACCGCAGGCATGGGGAGCGCGGGTGCCTCCAGCAGCACTCTGCAATGAACACAGGCGGCAAGGCAGCGCCATGTGAAGGATGAACATTTGCAACTGCAATCCACCAGCTGACCCAATCAACCGTGCCCCCATTCTGGGCTGCCATTTGCATTTGCCCCAAGCAAACAGGCCAAGAGCAGCCTTACCTGATAATGACTCTGCTGCTTGGAGGTAGCGAATGCCTCAGCCCATCCAGCAGCTGCAAAAGGGTAGTCTCATAGGGGGAGGCAGTGCCACTGCCCGGCTGCAATTTACGGTTGCCAATGCCAGCTACGGACTTGCTAGCTGCTCCAAGCTGCTGATGCTGCTGCCCACCCGCTGTTGCAACGCTGCCTGCCGCATCCTGCTCAGTTAGCTTCGCCTCATGCGCGGGGGGTGCTGCCGCCGCTGCTGCCTCGTTGGGCTGGCATCCCCAGGCGAACAGTGCACTGAGCCACAGCAGGGCAACCTCGAGCTCTGAGCCTGCTCTGACCTCAACATCGATGCCACCGTTACCGCTGTCACTAGCAATGCCCTGCATCAGGACAAGCACAGGAGCACGCTTGATGTGCATCATTAAGCTGCGCAAGCAGCGTTTTGGTTTCGAGCGAATCGTTTTGGTGTGCAAATAGATTTTTGGGTGTGCAATAGGAGCAGGGGCAACGGTCAGGCCCAAGCCGGCACACCTGGACCAGCTCCTCCAGGATAGTGGGTGTTGACGGGAGGTATTTACAAAGGCAGCAAGAGTAGTAAATTCGCACTAGAGGCGGCGTTAAATAGATCTGGGGTGGAGGAGCATATTCCCGGCATATACTTGGGATATTCCTGATACGATGCGGGTACGATGCGGCACAAAGGCATCATGGTATCGGTGAGCATAATGGCTGGGTCAGGTGCACGAAAGGGAGTGGCACAAGTGTCGATCAACTGGGAATGGGGTGGGGAAACACAATTGTGCGGTGTCTGGGGCGGGAAAGGCGGGAATGAGGGTATCAATGCAGCGGATGTGTAGACTGGACACGTGGCATTGTCACAGCTCAACACTCCCACGCAGGCTGCACAACCGTTGCACTTAGGCAATGCCCATTGCGTCGCGGCAGAACTTGAACTTGTTGGTGGGCACGGGCTTGGTCAGGATGTCGGCGACCATGGAGTCGGTGGGGATGTAGAAAAAGTTGACTTCTCCACGGGCGACTCGCTCGCGGGCAAAGTGGTGCACGATGTCGATGTGCTTGGAGCGGAGGGAGATGACGGGGTTCTTGAGC